CTGTAAGTGAGAAACATAAATGTTGAGAGGGAGAGAGCAAGAGCAAAAATCTGCACTATCAGCAGCCAGCATGTGATATAAACAAAAGGATTTCTTATATTAATCACATACATAAAGTGGGTTATAACATCTTCAATTGCAGAACAAGACTTGAATAGATGCACCCATTTGATCATATGTTCTCCAAAACATTAACAGCATGTTCATGATTAAGAAGCTAAGAATATAAACCGAAGAATCAACTATTCAGAGCAAATACCCCATAACCACAAGCTGAAGCTATAATTCAAGTCTCCACATACATTGTGGAAAGATGGAAAATCATCCTCTCCAACATGCTGTAAAAACTATGTGGGGCGACAATAACAGCTTCAAAAAATTCAAATACCACTTATATCTACCAATCAATCTGAACAAGGGACCAGTAACCAATAGCAACCCATCAAATCAATTATTTTTTAAGCTAAAAAAAAATCAAGTACTTCAACAAGCATAGACAAACGTACAAAGATACACAAACGAGAGAGAGAGAGAGAGGGAGAGAGACGGACCCTAATCAACAGCAGGTGCCTGCAACACTCCCAGACCAACCATGTTCCATACAACTTACTAAACATTGGCCATTCTGCAATCATCCGACCACGGAATTTTGCTTTCAAAAATAGGTCACAACCTAAACATCAAAAACACTGGTTGGATGAGGATACTTGATCTCAAAAACCCTCTCAAGATAACTCAATTATCCAACAGAATGATATCAATGAGTCGTAACAGATGTTGTTGTGCACACACACACGCACACACGCACATATATATTACAAAAGAACCAAGGAGAACCAACCTTTTTCCATCGACATTTTTTCAATCATCTCTCACACAAAGAAACGACCTTCCCATATGGACTGCCCTTGATACTGCTGCTGGGGGGGCCCGGGCTGCTGGTTTCCATTCTGAAATGGTCGAAGATGATCCCCATACTGCTTCATATGTCCTTCAAACTGGTCATGCCAACCTTTCGGCCTTTCGCTCTGAACTTGAACATTAGCAACTTGCTTTCCAGGGAAAGGAAATGTTGCAATCTCCATCTGACCGTTGCTCTGGCTCACGGAAGGGAATGCAGTTGGGCCCACTTGATTCATTGAACTACTGAATCCAACACTTTGATTTGCTGAGGACAACTGATATCCATCCAGCCAGCTGTAGTCATCCATTGGTGCCATTGGGCGATTATCACTTTTCAAGGCTGTGGTGGATAATAGCTCTTCAGCAGCTTTTGAAGGGAAGGAACTGAAACCAGGTGGCGGACCAAAATGTCTTAATGGTCGACTCACAGGATTCTTCTTTGGGCCCGGTGGCATAATTGTAGATGGTTTCACTCCAGATGTCATAACGGAATCTAGCTTTGAAGGCATAGTAGCTTGTGGAATCTGAACGGAATGATTTTGGCTATTTCCAGTACTCAAAAACTGGGGGTAGGGCATGGAAAAGGAAGTGGGTTGAGAAACTCCAAACTTTTCTTGAAGCTCCGATTTCAGCAGGGGCCCATTTTCCCCTAAATTTAAGTGGGCCAAACCATTCACAATGGGATTGTGTTCTACAGACCAATTTGATGTGTTGGGCTGCATTGATTGCAGAGACTGTGGATTGCCATTAGCAACAACGTCAGAAAGTTTAAGGCCCGCACTCGAAGCAACATGTAGGAGAAAACTATCATTTACAACAGAGGACCTGTTCTCATTCCTAGAATCCATCTCACCAAACCCAACAGTACGAGACGGAACCCCTAAAGTAGTCAAAGTAGAAGAGAAATCATTGACATGCTTCTCAGTAGCGGGCGGCCTAAAAACAATCACCTCATCCTCATCCTCGTCATCCACACCCATCTCCATCTTTGACGCCATTCGGTACTCCACAGGAATGTCTACCGTGCTATCACTCAAACTGGGTTCCAGTAAATAATCATCAACATCCTGCGGCTCAACACCAAACACAAATTTCTTATCCTTAGAGTCGTAATATACACTCTCCTGGCCATTTCTGATGATATTTGCAAGAGCCTTCCCAGCTGCAATGATCCTCTCCACACGGGCCATCCTTTCTTTACTGCCTCCATCACCACCAAATGAGTGTTTTCTCGAAAAGTCGAGGATGAGTTGGGCAGGAAGAAGAGGAACAAATCCCCTCAGCTCAAAGTCCTCGGGCAGCGCCAGACGATTGGCAGTCTCACTCTCGTCATACTTACTCATGTTAGAAAAACATGTTTCATCTTCATCTTTATCATACCCACTTGACAAAAGCTTGTTCAGAAATGGGATACATTTGTTCCAGAAATAGGACCTGGCATTCACTTGTTTCTCCTCCATTTCACTCCCGATTGCTACATCCTGATGACAGGCAAGCCACTCAACAAATACCATAATCCCAGGCAATAAGTAGCTCGATGAAGGATCAGATAACTGGTTACATCGTTCAATAACACAGCCCAAAAATTCAAAGGTTGCAGTAAAAGCATTTTGAAGCAGGACAGAACGTTGCAGTATATCGGCATATGATTGGTTTTCACTTTCCCTGTTCACATTATGCACGGTAAATATTAGGATAGCAATCACCCTGACAACTGTTAGCCTACACTCAGCATCATTCGAACCAAAGTTGGCTTCTTCACGATGCCCAGAAGAAAGAAGCTCCAATAAATCACTTTTAACCAATGAGAACACCTCGGCAAAGGTCTCCAAGCTGGTATCAAATTAAAAGGGCAAGAGTTGGTAAAACATTACTTTCAAGAAAAAATAAAAAAAATCTAACAGTCAAGAAGTTCAAAACAAACCTTGTGCGAGTAAAGAGAATGCCGTTCAGCCTCACAAATCGCGTCACGAAGACCTTCAAGATATCAAAATTATTTGGTGCTTTTTCCTTAACTATGTTAGCCTCAATCTTGCTTTCTTTACAAGAAGGCTTGGAGTCCCCTTTGCCTCTTCCTCTTCCAGGCACCCTTGGAGGTGTCATCTTCACAGTAGCAGCAGTCTTAGCATCACCAAGTAGTTGGGTATAGTTCTGACGGTTCTGCAAAAGTGAAGAAAAATATTGATCGGAAATGTTCTAATACTGATGTTAATTGTCCTTGCATCATTTTGAAACAACACTTCCTCAACAAAGTGATGTGAATGATACTGCAGAATTATGACAGACTTTACACACAAACTCCATATAAGATTTTTAAAACCAAATACAGACAACAGATACCAGAAGCACACTGTCCTTTAGGAACTGATAAAATTGAGAGGGATGTTAAGTTACCATAAGAACAGACACTATATTACACATGCATGACTAAAAGCATTTGCAACCAGCTAATCATCACATTGCTAGAAGCAGAAAAATAAAGTAGACGGAAGTAATTACTTTCAGTTTATTTCTACATATGTTTCTCCCATGAAAGAGTAATCAAGTCAAGCAGCAACCGTGTACACAAGACAGCTTAAAATAACGACAACTTAAAATTTACTAGAGGTATAAATACGACATGAACTCAATTTATTGCAACCATTTAATACTGAACTCACCTTCTCAAAAGCAATGATCAAGTTATCCCTGGCAGTAATGAAAGGGTTCTCAACTGCCAGACTTCTAAAATAGCGGTAAATTGACAGCAGTTCATCATTTGAATATCCAGCCAGTATAGCAAGCTGAGAAACACATAGGGTATTTCAAATTAATAAATCAAGAATAACTAGCTCAACAAAAGCTCGATTCAATGTAATAACAAATTGCCGTAGCAAAAGGAATTCATATAGAGCACCTGATGATGTGGATTGCCACTTGAAGGCCAAATTGAAGAAGCTTGCATGTAGTAACTAGAAGCAGCTGTGAAATCCCGGGCTTTAGAATCCCCTTCAGCATACAAGCTTTTATATCGTGCCAAATCCCCCAGATAAATCAAGCAACGATGACAAGATATCAAGCCCTTTTTCACATCGGATGATTTATTTCCATCTTTTGATATCGAAATCTGAGTATCATGATCATCAGAAAAATATCCCAATTGCAACCCATACTTTGCTCTTATCTTCAACATCAGATCATGATAAAATCCACTGGCCTCAGAAAGAAATGTCTTAAACTGGGAACGAATCTTCGTAAGCCGATCTGGTCCGGAACGAACAGGAGCTTTCAGATTTTGGGATACTGGAGAAGCTAAAGCTGCATTGAATAGTGCCCTCAGTTCCTCAATCCTCCTATAATGCAACTGCCACAGAGCATATTCTATATCGTTGTGATCGGAAAAATCATGATCTGCAAGGATAATTGCCTCATAATTTTCACGCATATTCTGCCATGTATTAGGATCTGAAGGAATCCTCGCCTGAGCGGCTTTCCTCCGCTTGTTCTCCAACTCAACGTTCTACAACAAGATAAAGCAGCACAACACGTACCAGTTATCACCCGAGCAAATAGATCAACAAGATACAGATGCAACACTGTAGACAATGTCAATCCAAAAGACTCTTTTCTGAACCACATGCACAAAGCCAGAACAAATACCTGATCCATCTAAAAATAGTGAACTATAGGAGCACGTACCTTGTTAAAAAGACGCTGAACGCGGTCCCTTGTAGAATTCTTTTCGTCTTTATCCATCAGCATGGTCATTTTTCGTTAAATAAGAGGCTCCAATAATCAAGATATATGACATTTAATCTACGGGAAAACTACCTGCAGTAGAACATATTTACTGAAAATTAATTGTACAAGAAAAAACAGACAAAATTGACGTGAGCATACAAAGCACACTTATGTTTTCTCCATGTCATGCATGCACCACATATTCTATATAAAGGTGAAATAGCCACTCAAAAAGAAGTGTTCACATGACACAATTTGATTTTCGGCCGTCTCTAAAGCTAAGAGCGCACAAGCAGCCAGAAGATATAAGTCAAATATCAAAATCTTATTATAAGATTCGCTGAAACATGTTTGTCGTATCTATCTACACATAAGTAACAGATATTAAAAAACCCATTACACGCTGTGGAGTGTTAACCTTACTAACCGGGAGCAAAAGATGAGAACATTTGACCGCCACTAGATTCATTAGTTGCATGACCGCTTTTTGTAAAGGCATGTAAACATTGAATTTACGATGAAAGAATCTTCATCACACGTAAGAGAGATTACCATAAAAAATATGTACTACCAACCCAAACACCCACTTCCACCTGATGAAAACCATTCATCCAAGGCCTTCAGTTTTATACAAAACAAGTATTTATCGAAACTTCCCTATACCCAACTACAACCCTAACTCTACCTAACTACAACCAAGAGAGGAGATTACAGAATTGTCAAAAAAAAAATAGATAACCATGTACAGAGGAAAAATTAGTAAACCGAGGCCAATTGAAGCTTCACAAAACAATTGAACGACAATACCCAACTCAACCTCGAATAGCCGCGACGAACGAGCAATTCAATCTAATAGCCAATAATAACAAGAACACATGATGAAACTAACAATGTAAAGAATAGCCCAAGAGCCAATCAATTAAAAAACCCTAATCAACAAATTTTCGCACATTGAACAATAACAAGAAATTGTTTGTCTTTTAGACGATATAAAACCTCCCCAAATACCCAAATAACACATAAACAACCGAAAATACGCTATCCAATCAACAAACAGCACCAGATCTGCAAGTTTCCGACCACGACCGCCCTTGATTAGGCCAATTCAACGCACCTGTATATATTCACAAACGCACGCAGGAACAAAACGATGATGGCTAGGGTTTCTAGATTATGGCTTCAAAATCTATTGAATTTTCTTTATCTCTTTTTCCTCCTTTGCTCAAAGGACCCACGAGTTTTCGGACGCCATGGAGAAAAAGAGGGATGAATGCGAAAAGAAGATATGAAGAAGGCGGTATGACTTTTTTGCTACTTTTTATTTTCCTCGATAGTATATATACTGATTCTATTTTTTATACTCCTAATTCTATTATAGTTTTACCAATTATTATATAAAATATTAAAACTTTAAGATCATCGAAATAAAGTTTTATAAAACATATTTTAGTGCCCTAATCTATTTACTCTATTTGACTATGACTACTCACCTCCAAATCCAAAAATCTAAATAGAAAATTTGATTTTTTTTTTATTATTATAAAGTTTCACAACACACAATAAAATAGATGTGTATTAATTCAAAGTACAAATCTCGATAATTATAATTCAATTGCTGATAGGTTCCAATCCTGTCCAAAATATCACTTTACTTCTTTTTATTTTTATTTTTATCGCTCTGTTTTTTCTTAAAAACTTAATGTCAAATATTTGTTTGTGAGAAATGATATAGGTACATAATAGTGTACATAGAGATGTACATAACACTCACATCAAGTAGACCACACTTCATACGAGTGTTACGTACATCTCTATGTGCATTTATTATGTACGTGTAACATTTATCTTTGTTTTTATATTAGAGTTATATATTATGCTAATTGGTCACATACTTATTGATGGTCATTTCCAACCAAATAAGTATACACTAAAAATTGCAATATATGGAATTTGGCAAGTCTAATTTTAAAGGTATATTTGACAAATTAAACTGAATGAATAACATATTCATAATTTAATTGATAATTTTGATATCATAGTTGATAATTGGCGGGTTATGTAATGACATTTATTGGTACTCATAAGTGATATATTTGCTACCGATCAAAAAAAAAAAGAAAAAAAAAGTGATATGTTTGCTGATATGGTAATATTATACTTCTTTTTAAGGGAAAAAAAAAACCTACTTATAAAAACTTATGTAATAAGTTTCAACTCTTTAAAAAAACTTTAGTTGCTAAAATAAGTTATTTGAATACAATACCCTTGTAAACTAGCTAAATACTATATAGCTAGTTTCATTTATATAGCACACAATATTTAAAATATTGATTAGAATGCAATGTGTGATTCTTTCACTCAAAAAAGTGTATGGTTTATTTATTTTCTTCATTTTGATTAAACTTTTTAAATATAACAAGTTGTACTTAATGTTTATCTTGAAACTATTGTGAATAAATTATTGAGCTCTTTTTTTGTCAAACGAAATATAATTACTATATACCATTACTTATAGTATTTTTTTGTCATTATAATTGCCAAAACCTAAGTGGGGACTAAGGATTAGAGCAACTCATATGAGAGTTGGGTTGCCAATCATTAAGGCCCAAACAAACTATCTAACAATAGCTGAAGTAATGGCGCCCACTAAATCTGAAATTACCATTTGACACTTTGCCCTTTTGACTTCCGAGTTTCTTTGCTCTCCATGACATTGACAATGTCGATGAATTTCATTGTTTGGAATGTATTTAAGTTTCAAATTCGGACATTTTTTAAAATATTTTTTATACATTTATCATGTAATTAGTGGTTACTTTTTTTTTCGAAACAACAAATTTCATAGATAAAAACATATAATTACAACTCGACAACCATTATAATTAGTCAAACAGTCATTTAGCTGAATTTAGTATGAGGATATCCCACAATCAGGATTCAAGATCTCACCCACGAAACAAAGAATTTAAGAAAGTCCCACGGGGGAAACAACAAAACTCCTACAATAGAATAATAAGCTACTAAGAAGCATAAAACAACAACACACTACCAAAACTACATAAGCATCAACACAAACACAACAACACTAATAATAACAAACTAACACTCTCATCTCAGTCAGCAAACAGACCGTAACAAACTACGACCCGACACATGGAGGTAGCTGCCTAAACGAATAGAACTCCGACACGAGCACTGAGCCAAAAATTCAAGTGTAACCACGACTAGTTGGTACCGCACCCGACGACCAAAATCTTCTTCAAATAGACCACCCCTAGACCTAAGACTGGAGAACGTCACATCTTTCCCCTTCTACCCATCAACGCCGCAAGCCTACCGGACGGACGGCAGGGCCGCTGCCCGCCACAGGTCGAACCAGTCAACCCAACACCAACATAAAAAACTAGAGAGACTGTAAACGGGGGAGAGGGGAAGACCTTACCTCAATCCTGACCAACGTCGAGGAGTAGGACGAAGCCAACATCCCGTCGCCTCTCAACACCACCAGAACCTTCATCTTGACATAAACTAGCACCGAGTGCGGCGAGGCTCTACACATGGGAGGGAGTCGCGATACCTGCAGGGACGAGCCATGCATCCGGTGACGGACGACGCTGGTCTGTCGAAAAGACCAACTAAGAGGAGGGGAGAGGTGAGAAAATGACGAGCGCCTGCTCTCGCGAATTAATGATGTGCTATAGTGTTGGTTTGTAGCCTTTGCAGGACGGAGTTGTTACTTATTTATAGAGATATTACTGACATGGTCTTCGAGATACAACCCGATAGAGAACAAAACCAAATAATTGACTTTTTTTCTGTAATGGATGTGGAATGAGTATTATTATATTTAATCGAAATTATTAATTATATTCGTTAATCATTTATTTATTTCTACCAATATAAACTTACTTTTGTATAATTTAGTGAAGAAATAATGCACTATACTATTTAGGGTGAATACATCGACCAGCTTCTAACGTTCGAAAGCCATCACTAAGCCGATGAACGTCTATGAGTACTTATCATGCAGGTACTTATCATGCAGCTTTGTAGGGCTAGGCCTTGGGCAGATAATTAAATATGTCTATTTAAAAAAAAATATATTTATAATAATTATATATATATATATATTAAATGTATGTGACGATGACGATACATCGAAAATTAAACAAAAAATGTTGTGTTTTAATATTATTTGCACGTGCAATAGGAAAAGGACTAGCCCATTTAAATACATTATCTCCTACAGTACAAAAGGTAAGGCAATTAATCACCCAAAAATGGGCTTGGGCCTAACATGTCATTATCCAAATTGTGTGGATAAAGTGGGCTTTAATCTAACTCGAACAAATGGGACTATAAACCCCATAAACCCTAACTTCCCAAAGCTTCCACCTTGTAGTTCAAAATTTCCTAAAAATTTCACCATAGTCTTATTCCTCAGTAGATTGAGCTCGGCAAGATCGAAATTTTTCCAAATGTAAGCTGTCGGTAACCTAATTTTCACATCTGCTGCTATTTTCAATCTGCCCTCGATTTTAACATTCGTTTTCGTGGTCTTGTTCGCCATTACAGCTGCTGTAGAACTCATATTTAGCATCGTTCATCTCCTTAATTTATTCATTTTTCCTGTGCAGTTTTCAACTATTCCGGCGATAAGGGACAATGGTGCGAGCGTATAAAATGAAAGGGAAAAAGAGGAAGATCAAAGGAGAGAAGTACGACAGAGAAGAAGAAGAACAACACGAGCCATTGGAGGAGACTGTAGCTCAAGAACCGCAGAAGAAAATGAAAACAGAAATAGCCGAGCCGGAGAGGAAAGATGAGCAACCGGAGGCGGAGGCCGCCGGTGAATTGCCCGGAATTCCGATTGTTCCGGTGGATAGCAATGTTAACAAACCGGGCGTTGTCTTTATTCTCGAGAAGGCGTCTTTGGAGATCGCCAAAGTTGGAAAGGTCTGTTTCAGAGCGAGGGGAATGAGATTGGTTGTTTTTTAATTATGGAGTAAAAGTTTTGATTGTTTTGTTTTGTTTGATTTTTCATTGTGCAGACCTATCAGCTTTTGAGTTCGGACGAGCACGCCAATTTTCTGACGAGGAATAAGCGGAACCCTGCAGATTATCGGCCGGACATTGCTTTTCAGGTTTGAGCTTCCGAACCCAAAAAAATGTTCAATTTGTTGTGTGTCTGTAGAGGGGGATATTGGCTGCCTTGATCACAGTGATATCTATTGGTTGGAGTTTTAGTTGCTTTAGTTTATACTTATATAATTGCTTTGGGGTTTTTTGATTGTTGTTAGCTTTTGAAGAGTAAAGAATCAATCGTGTGAGCTCGATATATGCATTTTGTCAAGCTCAAATCATTTTTGTATATCAAGTGATTGTATCTAACATCGTGCAACATTGTTCACATGGGTTTTAAATTTATTAATTTGTAAAGTGCAATGCCACTTGTTCTGTTCTGCAAAATCATAAATCTCTTTTAGAGAATCTACCAAAGTGTGAAAACCCTTTTATGCTCTCTTCTCCTGCATTTTGTTGCAGAACTTACAAATCTATTATGTATAGAATTATAATGTTTACCTTTTTTGATTATTGTAATTGTTCTTCACCAAGGGGTTGTCTTGTTCCTAACAATCATGTGTTCAACGTCCTAAAACATTAGGCTATTCAAACAATATTAGACAGTCGGGTCAACAAATGCGGGAGATTAAAAGCTTTATATGTGAGGACACAGCAAGGCCTTCTTTTGCATATCAAACCTCACGCTCGTATGCCGAGGACATATAAGAGGTTCTCTGGTCTCATGGGTGAGTAGCTCTGATTCAGATTCTAAGTTTTATAATTTGATAATTTCATTGAACACTTTGAATCAACGGAAAAACTTCTAATCAACATTTATCAATGATTTGCAGTGCAATTGCTGCAAAAGTTGCACATTACGGCAGCTGGTAAAGGCGAAAAGCTTCTACGTGTGATAAAAAACCCAGTCACCCAGTATTTACCCATCAACTCTCGGAAAATAGGTGAACCATTTTTTCCTATGCTTATCCATTTATTTATTTTTAGTTTCTACCTTTCTTGCCATCTAAATATTTAAATGTAGTGATATGTGTTTTATTGGATTATATCAGGCTTCTCTCACAGTTCAGAAAAGTTGGTCGATATGTATGACTATGTGGGTACTGTGAACAATGAATTGGATCTCGTTTTTGTGGTATGATAGATATTCCTCACTACTTCTTTGGCCCCTGCTAATTTT